TATTAACTCATGCCAGGGGCATGGAACCGTTTTAGATTATGTACTTTCAATTGTCGTTTTGAAGATAGTTTATTTTACATTATTTTTTACATCTTCATCAGATTCTTCTTGTTGTGGATAGCCTAATAATTGTTGTATTTGATGATTTATTCTCTAATATTTAATTAAGACGAACTGTGTTTATGATTTGTTTATTTTTGGTTGCACAATTATAACAGATAAAATATAACCATTCATTTATTTTTGTTGAAAATATTGTTCAAATTATTATTTTAAATGAATATATATATATATATATATATATATATATATATATATATATAAGGTTGTCAAATATCTCCTTTCTGCCGTTTTGTTTTTTGAATTTCGCGGCTATGTACAAAGCGCTACAGAGCTCGTATCTGGCAATACTATACACAATTTGAAAGGTCTTGACATAACCTACAAAACGACGCTTTGCATGATTAGTTTGGATATTGCGTTCAACAGTTATAGACGTGTAAACATGGAGTTCACTAACGCCGAAATTTGCGCTATTTTGAAGTTTTCCTTCGCTAAAGGCAAATCCGCTAGAGAAACGTTCCGTGAGATTAATGGTGTTTTGAGGGATGGTACTCTATCACTTCGAACCGCGGAGGAATGGTTTCGACGATTCAGAGCCGGTGAAAACGACACCATGGATAAGCCAGCCGGCGGAAGACCTGTGACGACAAATACCGATCAAATCATATTTGATTTGATCGGTATTTGTTGTCACAGGACAACGCCAGACCACACACTTCGTTGATGGAGGTTTTATCGCATCCGCCATATAGCCCGGACATAGCGCCAAGTGATTACCACCTGTTCCTGTCCATGGCGAATGCCCTTGGTGGTGTAAAGTTGAACTCAAAAGAGGCTTGTGAAAAGTGGCTGTCCGAGTTCTTCGCAAATAAGGAGGGGGGCTTCTACGAGGGAGGTATTATGAAGTTGCCGTCTAGATGGAAACAGATTATCGAACAAAACGGCGCATATTTGAACTAAATCCGATCACTGTAACACTTTTTATAAAGCATTGAATAAAGAGCAAAAAAGCGGAAGGGAGATATTTGACAACCTTATATATATATATATATATATATATATATATATATTATTTACATTGAAAGTATTTTTAACTTATGTCTAAAATTCAATAAAGTGTTTCGCAGTATTTAGTTCAAAATTGTTCAAACAATTTTCACTAACTCAACATTATTAATAATTTTTATTGAATTTATATTATTGAGAATATGCATATTCTGCACAAGTTTTTCACAATTTTCCCTTAAACTATAATATCTAGTTCAAATTCATGAATAATAAAAATACTTGTTATAAAATTACGAATAAATTATTAAATTACATTTCGATATGTAATTCGATAAATGTGTTTATATATATTTTTGGTTTTCCAACTTGACGAGCTTGGCACGCCCAATTTACACTCATTTTTTTGCACAATTAATTTTTTCTCCATCTTAACTTTTAGTATACTCTTCAAATTTTATTCAATAGAACTCTAGAAAAAAATGTATTTGGACTGTATGTGTCCAAGAATCTTAAGACCTATGCTAAACTGTAAATTAAAATTAAATATAAAATTAAAATTATTAAAATATATCATAAAGTTTTTATTTTATACATTGCTTTCTAATATTTTGAATTAATTTGCAGTCTTCTAAATTGTTTGAGCTGTTTCATATTTGAAACAATGCTATTTCTTAATAATATAATAATGTTCTATTATATGTACTGAATTTTAACGATCTTAATTTTTTGGATATATAATATAGATGTTGTTCGAATTATTTAAAGAAATAGGGGTAATTAATCATGTGAACAAAAATTAAGAAGAAATCAATTGGAAACCCTTCAATGTGGAAAACTATTAATAATAAATAATCATCTATAAAGGCAATTCTTTCATGTTGTGTATGTGTACTCTGCTGTTTCTGTCAATATTATACATGTTATAAACATTTAATTATTAATTATATCATAGATTTTTTTACGTAATTCTCGAAAGTTTCGTTAAAGTTATAGGTTATTCTTAAAATTAAAACTGCTAAATTCTCTTGGAATTATTTTAATATAATTTATGTTGTAAATCTAAAAAATATGTTAGAATAATCATAAATTATAGAAAAAATCGTGATGGTATGTGATTTAAGGAAACTTATTTATTTTTATACATTTAACCTGAAAAAATCTTAATTTTTATTTTAATCAGATTTACTTATATTAATTCTTTATGTTGTGTTTGATTATGAGTATTCATATGTGAAAAAATCGAAAAAAGTGAAAAATTTCATATGATATAATTTCAGATGCAATATACATGTAATATTAACATCGCATTGCATGTATTTACGATTATCTAATAGTTCAGTTAAAACTACATATTTAAAATTATCAGTAAACATTCTTTTATAAATTCTCCGTCAAATTTTGAAGAATGTTAATGATAGGTTAAACTTTTAGATAATGTCTTGTATAAATTATTTAAGAGGAGGAACAGTTTTATAACCAAATTTATCACCAAGGGACCTAATTGGTGCAGTTAGAACAATTTACTAATTTTAGTACACTTCTATGTACCTAATACTAGTGTATTTTTGCGTTATAGTAGAGTCATTTTCATATGTATGCATATTCAGAATTGCATATCCATCTGAGTTGAATGATTAATTTTTCGATTGCATAATGCCTTTTCATTGTCCACTCAACTGAATTTTATATTATGACGTCTTTTGTCGATTACGGACGTGTCAGCTGTTTGGACTTTGTGATTCCCGCACATTGCACCTCACCGTTATTAATAAGTGATTCCGTTGTGATTTGTGATTCTGATTAAATTAATGCACATGTAAACGATCATACAAAAACGGAAATAAACTAAATATATATTCACAAACACATATACACACACACACATATATATATATATATATATATATATATATATATATATGTGTGTGTATATATATGTGTGTGTTTTTTTTTGTATAGCGAAGGAAATGGGTTTGCCAGACTGGGTCTTTTGTCTGGGTATGCCGGCCGTGTGATGTGTGTTTGTTAAGGCCAGATCTGTTACGTTTATTGCAATTTTTCGATATATAAATATATATATATATATATATATATATATATATATATTTAAAAACTGGCGAGACATATGTAAATATATCGAGAGTTATTTTTAAGTATGAATGTTTCTGAGATTCAAACGTATACCAATTTTCTTTAATTGAGATCGGATAAATAAACAGATCGGAATGAGCATTCTCAGAATATTTAAAATGCTTTATTACTATATACAAAACCATTTCATTGATATACTTCATATGTATAGGGTGCTCAACAAAATTAATTATATCAAATATAAATAATTTAATTAAATAACAACCTATAAAATATTTTTTTTGTTTTAAAACAAAACCAGAATACAAAATTTTATTTTACATATCTAAGGAGCCGTTCAAGTATTACGTAAGCACTATAGGGGGCGGGGGGGTTATTGATTTGCTTATTTTGCTTATTTTCGGTAAGAAATTTGCTTACTTTTGCTGACAAAGGGGTGGGGGGGGGGGTAAATAATTGTAATAAATCTGCTTACGTAATACTTGAACGAGCACTTAAAGTGCTCCTAAAACGAAAATTGGCTCTACATTTTTCCCTCAAATATTATTTTGAAAATTACTTATATTACTTATAATTATTACTTAATTATATAATATTATTTATATAATATAAAGTATTTTATTTTTATTGATTTATATGGACCACGAAACAGTTCAATTTATAATATTTATATGATTATTGCAAAAAATAGAAAATGCCATTACCTCTTGAAGTTCTGATTTATCAAACTTAGCATCAAAAGTGTATTAACCTACTGTTATTTATAGTTCTTATATAAATTAATATTGTTAAAATATAATCGTTATGAAACATTTTTCTCGTAGATTTCGTAAATCATACATTGAAAATCATTATTTATTTAACCCTTTTTCTATGTGCTTCTGAAGCTTCGACAAACAACCTTTAAAAATTTACAACTCTGAGTTGAAATATTAAGAATTTTAATTATTTTTGAAGTTTTCTAATTCCTATTGTAGTTTTTAGATGTTTAGAAGTGTAATTTTGAAGTTTTAAATACATTTTTATTGATGATGATTGGAAAATCTTAAAATTTAATATGTTGTTATGTCTGGTCTGTATAGTAGCCCTACTGGGCGACTGCTTCCCCATACAGCAGAGTATCACTTGCGGAAAACACTACCGTAGCGAAACGGCTAAAATTAAATTTTGACAAGGGTCAAAAAACGCGTTTAGCAACAACTTCATTCATTATAGACTTTTTCTTAAATTAAGGGATATAGAGAATTCAAAATATAATTAATAATAAAAATAAAGTTAATATTAGTTCTAAAGTATTTGGGACCCCCAAATACTTTGAAACTAATTTTAACTTTATTTTTGTATTAATTATATTTTGGGTCTCCCAAGTTAGGGGACAGGTTGTATGTATTTCAAATTATTTTTTTTCCGAAAAACGGATACAATATTATAATTGAGACGTAGTGTTGTAAAAATTATTCAAGACCACCAATGATAAATATGACTCTAAATCTTATTCATTAAATTCATTAAATCTTTAATCAATCGAAAACTAACTATATAAAGTATCAAAATTTATATCAAAATATATATTACAAACACAAATTTTCTGTTATGAATCCCACAAACCTTTATTATTATTATTTTTATAACTTTTCAAACATATGATCTCATTATAGTTCATAACACTTTGTAATGAATATATCGCGCCGCGTTGCAATTAATATTTAATTGACACACTTCGAAACAAAAGCGATTATAACTCGCTTGTTGTTTACACATGTTTCCTCATCAAGACAACAAAACAGAAATTAAATATTATTACAATTATCTATATGTTTATTTATTTGTTTGCGCAGGCCGATCTCTATGTTCTATTGGCTGGTTGAGGAGTGTGGCTATGGCGTTGTGGAAGCGCGAGCCAAGGTCGGATCGGGAACACGTGCGCGAATTCTGCAAGTACGTAGGGACTGGATAACCAGATAACTGGATTCGTTGACGTGGACTGCACAGAACGAGCGAAAATCATGAACGGACGATGGAAGGCATTGGATCTGACATAAAATCATTCAAGGTATTAATGTTTTGATATCTGCCTGTGGAGCAGGCGTATATTTAATCTTGTGTCAAGCTTTTATCGTAAGGTGAGCGTATTTAACACTAGAATGACGGAGGTTGGTGCCTGATTGAGAGTCAATTTAGGTAAGGGATTAGGGAGGAAAAGAAATTGTATACCTCTTATTGTACTATGAAAAACGAAAACAATATTTAAAAAAAATACTTGAAATTGTTATGTATATCACATAAAAAATGCAAATAATTCAAATTGACTCGCACCGTCATTCTGGTATTAAACGTAAAATGTGACTGGTATTTTATTATTTTTTATTTTTATCTATTATTTTATTAAATTCTTATAAATATAAGATAAGATTATCTCATAGATTTATTCTAATACATAAATGTTTAATGTTTACATTCCAATAAAGCAGTTTCTTAATACACCCTCACCTTACAATAAAAACTTGACTGAAAATATTTTACATGAAATACTTGCGTCGTGTGCACCGAGCTTAAAGCACAGTAACCAGAAAGGTGAAGTTAAAGGGGAGAAAATATCAATCAATTACTATGTATAAATAAATATATACCAGGGGCAATACCATGACAATATATTTTTAATTATTAAACAATTAATGATTTGAGAAGAAAATATTAGGTTGTCAAATATCTCCCTTCCGCTTTTTTGCTCTTTATTAAATTAAAAAAACAATATTGCAAGAAATCAATTCAATTAAATAAAAAGTTACTCATAATATAATTAATATTTCTAAAATACCAGATCAAAGTTATTTACAGTACACACAAAGATGATAATTTGCACTGGTTGAATAATGTAGCTAATATTTCGTAAAATCCATTTAAAATTAAAATAAAACAATGGACCTGTTTGCCTCCTGGTCGTCCCAATTTACCTCGCCTTTGGGATAAAAAGAACCAATATACTAATTTTTGAATAACAGCAAAAAAGCGCATTTCTACAATGATAAATTAGCTGCGAGTTTTACAGAATATAGTCAGATAGTTGTTTGTTTGATCAATGTTATTTGTTAAGATGTAATTGGTTTGGTTTTACAATATAATTGCTCAAAAATAAACTGGGCATTTGTGTCCCTCCACCCTCTATATAATCAGTGTTACACTCACAATCATATTTATTTATTTATTTATTTATTCATAAGCAAGCCGTAATCAATAAATATAAATATTATTTCAAGCTTTTGTCAAGCTTTAATTCATAATTAATACTTAAAGCATAAGGTTGTCAAATATCTCCCTTCCGCCTTTTTGTCTTTTGAATTTTGCGGCTATGTACAAAGCGCTACAGAGCTCGTATCTGGCAATACTAGACATAATTTGAAAGGTCTTTACATAACCTACAAAACGACGCTATGCATGATTAGTTTGGATATTGCGTTCAACAGTTATAGACGTGTAAATATGGAGTTCACTAACGCCGAAATTCGCGCTATTTTAAAGTTTTCCTTCGTTAAAGGCAAATCCGCTAGAGAAACGTTCCGTGAGATTAATGGTGTTTTGGGGGATGGTACTCTATCACTTCGAACCGCGGAGGAATGGTTTCGACGATTCAGAGCCGGTGAAAACGACACCATGGATAAGCCAGCCGGCGGAAGACCTGTGACGACAAATACCGGTCAAATCATATTTGATTTGATCGGTATTTGTCGTCACAGGACAACGCCAGACCACACACTTCGTTGATGACTCGTCAGAAGCTACGGGAGCTCGGATGGGAGGTTTTATCGCATCCACCATATAGCCCGGACATAGCGCCAAGTGATTAGCACCTGTTCCTGTCCATGGCAAATGCCCTTGGTGGTGTAAAGTTGAACTCAAAAGAGGCTTGTGAAAAGTGGCTGTCCGAGTTCTTCGCAAATAAGGAGGGGGGCTTCTACGAGGGAGGTATTATGAAGTTGCCGTCTAGATGGAAACAGATTGTCGAACAAAACGGCGCATATTTGAACTAAATCCGATCACTGTAACACTTTTTATAAAGCATTGAATAAAGAGCAAAAAAGCGGAAGGGAGATATTTGACAACCTTATATTAGGAATGTATAGTCATTAGAACTAAGAAATGAAATGAGCAATATTTCGTATTAACCTTCAGCATGAAAATTTAACAACTGCATGATAGACACGTGCCACTTTGTTTTTGCGCAGGTTCATTTGTGATTGTATGGCGAAATTTTCAAATCCAAAATATAATACGTTTTTGGAGCTCTAACTGCGTTTCGAATAAATAGATTGTTTATTTATTATTAAACTCATTTTATTGACAACATATTAATATACGCTTAAGGCCGTATGAGTCATAGTTTTATATAAATATTAGAAGTGTGACTAATTATCAATTAATAAATAAAGCCATTGAAATTTTTGTAATGAGTAATATGTTATAGAAATCACATTATTTACTAAAATTGTAATATGCCTATATTATTGTTTATATTAGTCATTTTGAAACGCATATATTTATATAACAATGACTTTATCACCTTAGTTTCTGAATCTACTTATAATTAGAAATGGCATACCATTCGAAATTTACTAATCCACCTGCAATAGAAATTCGATAAGCTTTGTAAACAATTCAAAGATTTGTTAACCATTATATATAAAAATACGATCCACATTTCAAACAAACCTTCTATCTGAAGAATTTTATTTCATTACTCATTAATTGGCAAATTCATCCATAATTAAAATATTAATTTATTTATGAAATGTAGAAATTCTACTCAGTAAAATTATTTAATAACTTGATCAACACCCACTGAATTTGTATGCAATGACTATCTATGAATTAATGATGTTTACATGAGGATGAAACAGAAAATTTTGATCAAAAATTGCGAATTCAAAAGAAAATGAACTTACAATGTACATTAATACAGTAGAACCCCGTTCAGACGATTTTGCTCTATAAGATTTCTCGCATAATACGCCACTTTACGCCGGTCTCCGCACTTTGAAACATATTGTCTTTGTTAAGCATACATGTAGTTCCTAGGAAAACGTCTTAACAGGTTTTCACTGTATATATAATTTTATATATATAATAATAAAGAGTAGCTGCCCGAAGGTGTGGCACCACAAATCAATGATTACCTCTCCCTGCCTTGTTTATTATTCCCATTGTAGTTTTATTATCATTATTCAATTTTTATAGTTATTTTCAAACTTCAGCTTCCACGTTTCTTACAATTAATTTTCTTACTCTTCTCTCGTAAATCATCAATCATCTACATTCTTCTCCTTCCTTATATTTTAAGTACTTCTATTTGACCTTCGACGACGTGGTGTAGGAGGCACTCTTTTTGCAGAATGGGTCCGATCCAGTTTCCTTATCAGGTCGGTACTCAGTAGAGTTCTTTTTTGGCCCACTCTTTTCAGCACTTTTACATTGCCTCATTTCAAAACAGTGCAGATAGTTTTTGTCGGCTTTTCATAGAGTCCTTGTCTCTGATTAGTACAGAGCTATGCTCCTGACATAGTTTTACAAAGTTTATCAGTTTTATAAAGTCAAGTAATTACATATAATCAACGATCCTAAATTGGAAATGTGATATTTCTGAAATATCTAGATGCAATTATTTTAAATGCAAGAAACAAAGCGAATTGCTTTTATCGTGATTACATTCTATTAGCAGTTATGTAAATGTTTCCACAAATCCTTAGAAATATTTTGCGTAGAATACCTTATGTTCAATTTACAAAAACCAATACCAAAAATGTATTTTTCCAATTCCAACCAATTTTTCCAATTTTACCAGTTGAAGGTTGGCTACTAACGAGACGTAGTTTTGGTATTGTATGATGAAATATTAAAAAAAAAACAAGAAAAGCTTTTAATCAATTATAAACTCATTTTCTATTCATATTACTCTGAGTTTCATAATTGCTCATAAAATTTCTGGTCAGCAAATCAGCATAAAAGTAGAACCTGGTGCGAGTAAGTCACCGTGATTTATTAAAGCTTCAACATTCAACAAATTCAGAAATTCTACGATTCGGTCTATTATCCATCTAAATCTTATTATTGTAAACAACAATATCAAATTTATGTTTCCTACGACCGAATCGTTCAGTCCTGTGTATCGTATCAACATCAACATCCAATGGCGTTCTTAAAATGAACTGCCCTACATCGGTTTCTTCGTCTCGAATTTATTTATTGTAGTTCGTCGTTCGCTCGGAATTCCGCGTCCATAATTAGTATAGTATGCATAAACATTCCGACGAGACGTAGGTGGATGAGACGATTTCCGTTTAGGAGAACACCAGTTTATTAATAAACCCAGAAGAATACTACCTACTATACTCGATCTATGAAGAATTGGATCAGAAGTAAGTCAATTAGACTTATTTAGGAATTTTTAAAATTTTATTTCATTATTTATTTTATTTTTATTTCATTATTTATTATTTTTATTTTACAAAATAAATGTTGTTTGCCAGATGTAATGTAATTGCCAGATCAGAAGTAAGTCAATTAGTCAGTTTGTAGATTTTTAACGAAATAAATGATGTTTGCCAGATGTAGTTCACAGCATATTTATGATTTAGGAAAACTTTGTTCTGAGAATTATATGAAGAAAAATCGTAAAAATAATAATGTAGTAGCTTGATAAATATTTGATGTTTCTGTGTAATAATTAACTTCCCGAAGGAGAAGTTTATGTTTTCATAAAAAAATCCGATTCGCTAATTTTATGTTTTCTCGACGTTTCAAGCCATTCTGAATCGAATAAGACCAAATTTCGAAAAAGTATGTGTGTGTGTGTATGTGAACAGATTTTTTGCTGTAAATCGACATTTTCCCAAAAACGGCTGGACCGATTTCAAAAATTTAAAAGCCATTCGATGTGTCTCGATGAGGACTAGCGTTCATCAGTTTTGTGCAACGATCGGCCAAGCCGTTTCTTTATAAATAGCAGAAAAGTGAAAATTTTTTCGTACACGTTTTAGCCCGCAATTGTGAAATGATTTTGAAAATTCAAAAACCGTTCGAAAGATATTTGGGAATCGTGCTGATTAGCTGATTATTATTATTATTTATTTATTATTAGGCCGGGGCGTTTTCTTGTAAAAAAGTGTTATGAAACTTTTTTTGACGATTTTTTAAATATAGATTATATATTTCTAAAGTTATGCCATCCGCAGATATACTAACTAATATATTTATTATTAAACTAGGTGCAAGAAGAATTTTATCACAAAAACTTCCTGATACTTGTAAATATTAACCTTATATTTTTATGAAACTTCACATAGTGAAAGATTTGATAGTCAAACCGAACCCCATAAAATATTATAGGCCTATGAGAAGTAGTTTAATTATAAAAATTCAAGTTGCATACTTAAATGTGAGCACATACGCGCTTAGGACATACACTTTGTATTTCTCCAAATTTTGATCAATTTTTATAATTGAGCTACTTTTTGCAGGTCTTTAGTATCTTATTTATATTACGGTCTTTTGAACTCTTATTTATACTATCTTTAACGTTTCACGAAGAAATGATCCGGTGGATCTTTACCAAAAAATAGTCAGTGATTTGCGACTCATATTATTTTTGAATTTTTTTAACAGTTTAATTTTTTTTACTGAAACGTTGACGCAAATTTTAGCACATATTTGCTAATTATCAAGAGGTTGGCCCAGATGATAGTTTCACAGAACTAATCGAGTTCCATCAAATTGTTCTTAATATTTTAAAATTGATACAGCCCTTTTTGAGAAAACGTCGATAGGTTAGATTTTGGCCTTTTTACATAAACACATATTTTTTGTAATTATGGTGTCAAACGATTTGGAATGGCTTAAAAGGTCAAGACAACATGAAATTAGCGAATTAGATTTTCTGGCGAAAACATAAACTTCTTCTTCGGAATTTTAATACTAAATAAATCTATGTGAAAATCAATATAAGTTATAACCTTTCTTTTACTCTATAGTTTTCATTTTTATCTTTTATTATTGTCGAACTATATTTTTTTTATAAATTACAAATTTTGTAAGAAATAATTCTATTTGCTCACTCGTCTCACATTGTATATATTCCAGTTTTTGTCAAATATTTCATATGAATGAATATTTTGTTTAGATTTGTTAAAAAGTAAGTTTAAGGTAACTGTATACTTATTAATATTGTTTGAATTGCACCTACATTTAGATAAATAGAGATTTTTATGAATTTAGGTAAACAATATTTCATGAAGAATTAGAATCTAAATCAATAACATTAGTTATAATTCTGTATACTGTTTTAATATTTTTGTACTGTCTCCCTTATTCAAAAAAAAAACATGAAATCAAATTGATATGTTTTGAGAGCTTAACGTTGGCAAAAAGATCAAAATGAGTGCTTTTGCAATTGGGACAAAATATAGGATCAATCTTACCGTACAAAGCAATAATTATCACGAGAAATGATTCTTCAAATTCATCATGAATTTCTAAATAATTTTTTGCAGTACGATATGAATGGAAACTTTATGATGATTTTGCAAACATAAATCCTTCTGTTTCCAGTCTAAAATATTCTGTTTGTGAGTATATTGCCCAAGTGTAGATGCAATTGCGTTTCATTGAGGGTTATTACGTCGAGTTTTCCAAAGACGTATATTCCTAATATAAATTATTCTTATAAACAATGCGCAAATTGCTTTGGAGACCTTGTCTTATTTTATTGGCGTATCTATTCACACAAACACGTATTAAAATGTGCACTGTGATTTCTCACAAATGACTTTTTCAATTGGAAATAATAAGAAAAGGTATTCATTGAATGGAATTAGATATGGATTAGTTGAATTAACTTTCTAAATTGCGATGTGCAAATATTAGATGAAAATCGAATCTTGTGGTGTGTTTCAACAAAAGCATGTGAACATGTG